AATATATATATATATATATATAATGATTTTTTGTAATTATTTTTATTCTTTTTTAAGATTTGAGAGATCCTATGATACGATCCTCCTTGTTTCTCTCTTGACTATGCATGCCTCTATATGTGTAAAAAGAAAAACTGTTTAAAGTATGTGATAATAGTAGAAAGAAATCCATGTTTTCCAAGTGCAAAAATAAAACTTTGATTTTTAATTTTTTATGGGAAGAGAACTGGTTGTGCGATTAAAATTTTTTACGTTTTAAGATATTGGAATAGGGACTTTTTAATGAAAGATTTCCAGTAATGTATTTTTGTGATTCACTTCATCAAAGTCTCGCGACGATAGAAAGAACGTTTCGATATGTAACAGCGCTGTCTATGCTTGAAATGTTTGAATCGCATTTTTCGAAAAGATCTCGTCGACGTAGAAACGCGATCGGAAGCACGTCACGCCGTTAATGAAAACGAGCAGTGCTCGAAGAAGAAGACCACAAAGTGGACGTCGATAAAGTCGCCGTAGAGTGGATGCTCGATAACTGTGTCCCAACGACGACGAAGTACGTCGGAGCAAATTAAATTTTCTTCGTTGACTAGTCCAAATTTCTCCATCAAGCCTTTCATTCCCAGCGCATCCTTCTCTTCTTCCTTTCTTTGAGTTCATTCGTCTCTCGGCGGTTTCCTTTTTAGCAATCAGACGAGCAAGATCCAAGCTTGTACCACCTAGAGGCACAACCGCGAGACAACTGAAATTTCTGCTTCTTGCATATTTCCTTTTGTTACTTTACAATAATGACCAAATCGGCAGCTATAAAACTATTCTAACGGAAAATCGTATCTTGTAAATATTAATTTTATTTGCCAATACACTTGTTTCATTTTCTTACACACTCTTAGTTAAAAGTATTAGATATCTATGTGTTTCTTTCTTTTATTTGAAATTCTTTTATCTTTTATTGTATTCTATTGTATTATCTTCTTGTTGGCATTGTACATAAGTTTAAGAGGATGCTGGTGTAATGAAATTATCGACATTACGGGTTAGAAAGTTTTTCAAATTGACTTTACTTGAAAACCTTTTACTGAAAAGAATTACACACACACACACACACACACACACACACACACACAGAGGATGTCTGGTAAGTTTTAATAAAGCGCTTGTGCAAATAACGCGGATTAAATCAATTGAGCTGAAAAGTTCTGTACCATTTTGCAATTTTCTCAATAGTTTACGAAAAATTAATTAACTAAAGATTGCCAAATGAACGATTCGATCTTAATATTGTTTGTATTATAAATTGATTTTTGAATTAAAACATTAAAGGTTAATAACATGCCTTTTAATTAAAGTTGTGTCTCATTTACACTCTTTGTGTTAAAGAAATATAAATGATCATTTATATTTTTTTCAATTATTTACATGCCTATATTAATAATACGAATACAACATGCAAGTATAACAATATAGATACGTAGATTTTAATAAGAAAAATAAAAAAGATGCTATAAATGATTTAGATTCTGAAAAATCTTTGAGATATTCAATAACCTGATATACATCAAATATCAAAAGAGTATCGAATTTCAAAGGTCTCTGTAGGTGGTCATCAAGTATTCGTTATGTACGTGAGAGAATTCACTTTGATATATTCTTAACTTCGACCTTTGCTAGAATAGAATTGTCAAGAAAATGAAGAAAAGCATTCAGTATAATAAATCGGCGAAATCTCGACAAATAAGTATAAAACGAGTCACACCTGAAATAACACGGAGATGAAGAAAGCAATGGGAAGCAGGTATACAAACTAAATAGAAGTTACAATAAGCAGTAAAATTTGCAAAGTACTTTCCTATCTCTAAAATATTTTTCGAATATCTATCACTATAATCTGTGTATTTCGACATTTTTAAATTTCATATTCTAAAGTTATTTAGAAATTTTTGAGAAATAAATAATTTTTCTATATATAGAACACATATTTACGAAGCGAAAATACAGAATTAAGAAAGTGTTTCATGGTGCGGTGTAAGAAATCGATGTAGTTGTTCTTGAATGATGTCTAATGTAAATCACAGAAAACAAAACGTACAAGAAAACAGAAGGAATGATAAAAAAGTGACTGGATGTAAAATCTCTAAGATGCCATCTGAAGATATGAGGAAGCCCGGCGGCTTATCTAGTTTGCATAGAAGCGTTCTTTGTGAATAAAGAAAACGTGTGGAAAACTCGCGTTACATGTCGCGCATATTTCTCATGAAGAGAGAAACGCATTTGGAATGACACGTTGCATGCGAATGTAAATCGTAACGCAAGAGAATTAAATTTTATTGCTGCGTAATTTGCACCGAAGATACACTTCATAAACGATTGCTCATTAAATCCACGTCCGTAATTATAATTATTCATTTGCAAGTTAAGCTTTATAGCTTATTACTCGCGATAATTATTTATTAAATAATTAAATATACATTTCTCTTAATCTTGATTATATAATTAAAGATAATAAAATCGTATTGTGCATCGGAATTGTCACAAACTTAACAGATGATATTTTACTTCATTAATAATGTCTCTGAAACTAAATTTTCTGCTTCTACTGTACCTCCATCTCTTTAATAATGTGAACACAACATATATATCCAAACGCAAATGTTCCTCGCCTCAACGACGTTGAGAATTTGACTATGCTGATACTTGATTAATTTTAACTACTGCATTAGTCCTTTGGCTGTGTTATTGCGTGTACACTTATCCCTATGTGCAAACGGGCTACAAACTACATGTGTAAGACGATCTCGAGATGTGTGTGTGTGTGTGTGTGTGTGTGTGTGTGTGTATGTATGTGTGTATATATATGGTATACATATATATATAAGCATGTTAAGTGAATACAACGGGCACGTGGTGGTCTCCACTCGTCTACGTATACACAACTTACCTCGAGGAGTTTGCTAGCGTTCTTGCTTGCATTTGACTAACCGCGTTAACGGATCTCGATCCAAATATCAGTCTCGAGGAATCCTTTATGTGGTTCGCGCTTTATGTGCACCGAGTCAGTGCCAAGAACCGGCAACGAGCCTTTGTCCTTGTGAATTCCCTCAAAACAAATCCGAGTTTCGCGATTTGCTTTTTGAATAAAGCTTCATAACTTTATAATCTTTCAATGATTTTTTAGATCGTAAATAACGTAAACAAAAGCGAATTTTTTCATACATTTAGAAAAATTGTTGAATGATTTTATGACGTAATAATTAATGAACTACACTAATTAAAAATGCACGTAAGAAATTCTTGTATTTAATTTATTTATGAACTTAAATTATATTTTGCATTAAATTTTATGATTTCCATTTAAATTGTTTTCATTTTATTTTATTCAAAAATAATTCAAGAAAGATGATTAATGTACATTCTAATATAAAATCAATTTAGAAATATTTAATAATTTTGTGTACTTCATTCGTATATATTTTTGATCTTTTTTTGGATTAAATTTTGTATTAAAATTTAACAAGATGATTAATGTACATTCTAATATAAAATCAATTTAGAAATATTTAATAATTTTGTGTACTTCATTCGTATATATTTTTAATCTTTTTTTGGATTAAATTTTGTATTAAAATTTAACAAGATGATTAATGTACATTCTAATATAAAATCAATTTAGAAATATTTAATAATTTTGTGTACTTTATTCGTATATATTTTTGATCTTTTTTTGTGTTAAATTTTGTATTAAAATTTAACAAATGATGAAATTCTCTTTTTCTGTCTTTGTCCAATTAATAATTATATTTATATATGTTATATTGATTTACATCTTTGATTGCAGATGAGTGGAAAACGGACTAGAAGTTTTAAATGTGCCGTGCACCATCGGGACCGTGAGGTCTGTTCCGAGAACGATTTTCATCTGCTCGTGCATGAGCCACCTCTGTTTCGCAGGTATGATTTTAAGAGTCACGTTTAATATAATAAATTTTCCACAGTCCATCGAAATGTGATAGTAGCATTTGGAAGCACGTATTTTTCTGCTTCATAAGATTTTGACAAAACATTTCTTTGGACAAGTCTTTTAACAACCAATTCAAAATCTAAACGATGAAAATTCCAAACGACATTGATTTGATTATTATCTAATCAAAATCGTAATAAAACGTATCCAAATACATCGAGTAAATGAAAAGCAATCGTTTGTAAAGTCCGGCTAAAACACTTCTTTGAAAATATCACGTACATTCGAGTTGAGATAGTGTGATAGGTCTCTCGAAAAGGGGGGGTAAACCAATTCTCTCATCTTACGACACGTTGAAAGGCGCGAAAGACGCTAGGAATGCGGATAAAACGAAAAAACACGAGCCGAAGGAAAAGTTCTGTATTTTATTATTCTGGCAGAATATCCGACGTGCGCGACGACGACGATAGCAGAAGCGATGACGACGCGACAGAGACAGCAACGCGGACTAGAACGACCATTCTTACAGTATTTCTGCCGTGCATTTTATGCTGCGCATCGTTACCCATGCGAAAGAACCTCGAGGAGCTACCGACATACCTCGTACATTGTACGACCTGCGAAACATCAACATCTTCCTGCTTCCTATGACCTGCTCTTACGATCCCACTTCCTTCTTCATGCCTTTCTCACTTTGCATCTTCTACGCTCTGTGAAATTATAAATGCAATGATGTCGTTATTTACCGATACGCTTCCGCGCTTTTAAATAATTCTTTACACCATCAACTTTTTTCCGATGATGCGCATTAGCGAATCCAACGGATCCAGAAATTTGTTAACGGAAAAGAAACCATTGGCTCGCGCCAGCTTAATTTTTTTTAAGAATATGAAAAGATTGAATATTAATTATTGAATATAAATTATCATTTAAATTATTATATTGAAAAGGTATTATTTAAATATGCATAAAATGTTTTATTTAAAATTGTGTTAACATAAAAAAATTTTATATATATATATATATTTTTTTTTTAAAAAGGAGATTCCAAGGAGAAACCATGGCTCCTCTTCCATAGATCCGCCAGTGCACAAAAATAATCGTAAAAAATTATGATTTCCTATAAAAAGGAAATATAAGCTGAGTATAAATCGTTACCATAATAACAGCTACGACATTGATCATGGATTGTTGGGATATAATCAATATGGTAAATATCGTTCGTCGTTAATCATACCTTTAACGAATTCATCGAGTTCGTCGTCGATATAAATATAACTTATACAGAATAATCGCTGTTACGCGACAAGCTTAATAATGCAATTTATTGACGTCCTCGGTGCAGTTTCGAGTTTAATTTGCAAACGTACGTGACGAAGTAGTCGACATGCAATTTAAATAAAAGCATTCCCGTTATCTAATGCGTTATTTATAACAACATCGGGATCGCATCGATGTCACGTCACGATCTCGAAGGCGTATTCGTTTCGTTGCACATCCGAAGATATTAATTCCTTTTTTCTCGCGGACCAGGCTCGATAAGATGAATAGGTTTGGATATGTATCGGGCATCGTTCTTTCGAGGAGGCGCCGTTCGTGCTGGGTCTCTCGAGCGTGGTCGATTCGACTTGTTCCTGGGTGCTAGTCATAAATAATTCATCGTATCACCCGCATGAAAGAAGAGACGGAGAAGATGGTGCTCGACGGAGCGAGAGAGAAAGAATGAGAAAATGAGACGGAGAAGACAAGCGACAAGAGGTAGGCCGTGCAAGGTAGACTTCGAAGTAGGCGCATAGGGATGGCTTTATATGAAAACTAATAGAACTTGCGTTTCAAGCCCTCAGCTGTCAAGGGACTCCGGAGATGGTAATTTTGTATTTATACAAATATTTGTAGAACTTTTAAAGTTTTATATCGCGCGAAATAAAATACACATAAATTCTCTGACATGTTTCTCAACATCGTTTTTCTTTTTTATTTTTTTTCTGAATTCGAAAACTGTTAACTTTGATCAAAGTCATCGTTCACTCTCCCGGGTAAATTGAGAGAGAAACAAAAAAGTTTAAAAATTATAAAAAGATCAATGAAATAGACCTGGAAGAAGATAAAGATGAAGATAGATAGATAGATATTATCGTCATGTATTGAGTGCTCTAGGAAAACACTGAACAAAATACAATTGATAGAGTAAACCTATTGTAATTACAAAGAAGTAGAAACTAAATTAACAATAAAAAAAGAGAGAAAAAGTGATAGTAACGTTTGAAAAGTGTAACAAAATTAATAAAAAGCACACTGTTAAATTTACAAATATCAAATTATGCCCAATTTATGTTATTTTTAATTACTTCTATAGATTACCACTATTTCCTACTCAACATGTCGTTAATTTAACTAAAACAGTGGAGAGTCAAACAATTTAACTCAAGCAAATGTATTTGATTAATAAATAATGAGGCTCTGTGAGTATAAAACAATATAGACAAAAGAAGAATAAATAGCCAATAATGTAGCAAAGAACTTTAATTTGAATCATAAAATTTATATAATAATTACAAAGGACAAAAACATATGTTTCAACTTCATTCGAGTCATTCTCAATGTTGCGATAAACTTATTCAAACTATAAAATAAATATATAATTCTAAAATATGTATTTTTCATTTTGTATAGTGCGTGTGAGTCAATTATATCAAAATGGTAAGAAAGTTATAACTGACAAGAATATTACTTTCTTGCAGCGCACTACACAAAATGAAGAATACGTATTTTAGAATTATATTTGTTTTATAGTGATGTTTGAATAAGTTTACCGCAACATTGAGAATGACTCAAGCGGAATCGAAACGTACGTTTTTGTCCTTTGTAATTATTATATGAATTTTATGATTTAAATTAAAGTTCTTTGCTACATTATTGACCCTTTGCCCTTCTTTTGCCTACATTAAATTTGACTTAAATTTATTATTTACTAACTTACTAAGTGCAACCATTAATCGAACATTCTTTACTTTGAAACTAACCACAGAAATATATTGATTTACATTTTAACACACATGTTAAAAATAACAAAATGTTATTTAACTCAAGAGAGTTATCATTGTTTCTTTGATATTTAATGGTGCATGTTCTATCTCTAAGTAGCATCTACTAGAAAGAGAGAAAGAAGTGCGGTGAGTGCTAAATCTAGGCACTACGCTACACATCGCAACGTGCCGTACCGAAGAGAGAAATTTCTGTACACACAAGATAAGAAGAAGCAACAACTTAGAGTCAGGGCTCTTTGCAAATAAAATATCGTCTCGTGTCAAGCGGTCGCGTCTAGCGGGGGTGGTGTGTCGGGAGGGGGGGGAGGGGGGAGATTGTTCGAGGATGGGCGAGGATCCGACGCGTTACGACGGAAATATGACGAGACGATATTCCGAGCAGGTACCTAGCGCATGCTTGGAATTCGGTGTGAGCACAACCCTTAAGTCTTGGGTGCGCTACCCCCTGTGACACTCTCCGACATCTCTTCATCTCGCTCCTTTTATCGTCCCCAGCCACTTTCGCGATCCATGTAACTCGTATCTCTTCGTCTCGCTATGTTTCTCTCTCTCTCTCTCTCTCTCTCTCTCTCTCTCTCTTTCTTTCTCTCGTCCGCACTTCGTTACATTAATGCGCGAGGAGTATGTAAATTTTACCGCTGACTCGCGAAAAGATGGGACTTCTTCGCTCGTACCCTCGGGAGGTCGCGCCTTTTCACATTTGAAAAACTTTACACGGCGACGACGGTTTATGGCGGTCGGTACATCTTCGGTGGAAAGCCGCCTTCGGTTGGTCGCAAGGTAATAGTGAGGTCGTACAACAGGGATATTGAAGTCTTTCAGATTCTCCGACGTGAATCATAACGGCATTTCGAACTGATGTTAATACATAATCCTTAAAGCAGCGTTTACAATTTTTGAGCCGTTTAAATATTTTGAAACGTAAAACTTGAGCTTTAAGTCTCAAGCCGTACATAATTAAGTCTATAATGTCAAATTTAACCTAATTTGAATCGCTACTGCTTCTACTCAATATATGTTACTTTATACTAAACACAATTATTAAATTCGACATTCTCTATATAGTTTAAAACAATTCAAATTTAACCCAATTTGAATTTTAAAATATTTAACACCATTTTTTAGTATAAAATGATGATATATTGAATAGAAACGACTTAAATTAGGTAAATGACACTATATATGACTACATGTATAATATTTGACACTATATTTGATACTACATTTGATAGTGCAAGAAACTGTCCAATCACAGTCGAATGTGAGGAGAATATGATGATTGAATTTCTTACGACTTAAGGCTTCAAGTCTAAATTTTACACTTTAAAATATCTTATTGTAGACGTCGCTTTAAACCGCGAGGTGAGACTGTGCGTCATAATAGTGATAATGGAATGGTGGTAACAAACGTTTCTAGCAAAGTAACATTTTCGAGAAAACGAATCAAAAATCTTTGCACATATGGAATAGTATGGCTGAATAATTCTCGTGACTCTCGGCCAGCGATCCGATTTCCGCTCCGATGATATTTCCGTTCACCATTGTCGCAAAAAGAAGGGATGGAAACACGGTGCCGTCGCTTCGTGCATGCTTCCGCCTTTATGTCGGGGTATTCCCTTTCGTTTAACAAACTCGAAGCGGACATTTTGCAAGGCGGATCGGGATGGTTACAAAAAGAACCCGGTTACACACATGCGGAAATTCGTTGCGCCCGCGTCTCTCATTCGGCCCTTTGTCGAGGCCTCGCTTGGTCGGCGCGCGCGCTTCCATTTTTCACTTTCGCGAAAACGTCATCCAGCCGTTATGCGCTCGTTCGCGCTTCTCGTCGACGCGACAATGAGCTTCTGCTCTCGCGGAAAACCACTTCGTTT